CCTAGACAAAGTACTACAGGTATTGGCGTGTGGTGGGAGCTTTGCAGCCCACTTCAGGACACGCCTTGAGGGAAAGTGCCAAGGTGGGATAAGGTAACGCAAAATTATCTACACGCTACTGACCACCAATGAGTAACATCGTCTGTCCTTTAAAGAGGTTGTGAAATGCATTCGAAGGCGCGCAAAGCTGGAGAAATGTCATGCAGTGAAAAAGTTGGCACTTTGTTAACGATGTAGCTACTCTCACCATTTGGATCAAGCGAAACACAATATCAAGTCCATCCTAAGCCGAGATGGTAAACCTTATGCCTCGAATCGGCCACGACCAATGCAGGTGCTAAGCCACGATTTTTGTGCAATTCAACTATTACATCTTGAATGCTTAAATATTGAATGGCGAATATCATTCGAGAAGGGAAATCACCATTCCCATGCTTCATTGCGCTAGGCTCGAATGTTAACACAAACTCATGCGTCGAGCGTACTCACGGGAAGCACTATTTTGGCATTTTACCAACGAAGCGACCAACAACGCAGTCTAGTGGCCCCCAAATGGTGTCATTCCCCTAGCATGAGGTAATTTTGCCTGCTCAGCATCCACTGTGTTAGAATGAAACTACATTGCAACGTACCGAGACATTCAACCCCCAAAATGAACTAAATGGCGGTAAAGGTATAGCAAGTAACGTCGTATTGCCCAATGTTCCGACATGCGAGGTTGGAGCGAACTATGACGTCGCCCAGTGATTACTTTGGTGTCATTTTAAGTGGTCTATTGGAGATTAGTATTTTGAGACTGCGTTCTACTTAGTGCAAAACATCCCAATGGATACTTGGATGGGAGTAATTTTGAACGAAGGAAGATGTCGTACGTCCCTTTGCGACGTTGCTTTTTCTGTTGTTGCATCGCGTGTTCTTCTTAATGACTTGATTCGACGCATAATGATGTTGTCATTTTCCTTCTTTTTACGGCAATTGGCATAGAATGTGACGTCCTTTGGCCTGCGGCGACACTAACTTCTCCATTGTCGGGTCATTTGATCTGCATTGCGACCGTTCTTGTCCTTTTCCATTTAACGCACACGACGACGTCTCACTTTAACACTTACTGGTGTGGATGCAAAGGGTAAAGTAAGTGCCTCGGAAGAAATTGATTCCCCAAATCATCATGCAATTGTCCACATCACCACCCGTCTTGATCGCGATTCATCCATTCATCCACCCGGCTGTCCTTCCATAATCCTGTCAACCTCTTAACCTTCCTTGCCACTTTCCCCATCAATTAGGCACTTGTTTCGACACCACTGATTACGACTTTGAAGGTGTTGACTAGGGTGAATATGACCATCCGTATTGGCGAGGATATTCACCAGAGACACGCTACCGCATTTAGTAGGATATATCCAGTACTAAACTTGAGAGTAAAAGCCACACACACCTCAACTACACGCACACCCGAAGCTCGCTTCCCAATGGGCTTACGAAATAATCCCCTCTCTACTCTCCTCGATGCCCTCAGAGTTGACATAGCCACAATGCGACCACAGCTGCGCCAAATGCTGCCAAGATGCATATTTCTGTGCACCGCATCTCACCCACTACGACAAAGAAAACTATAATCAAAATCTCCAATTGGTACTATGAAGAAATAGCAAAGCATCGAGTACAATAAATGACACTCTAACCCAGTGATTTGGTGAAAAGTGAACAAGGGAAGCCAATACGACCATCACAATTGTGTCGCATTACAGTCCAGGAAAAGTACGTCTTGATCATCGTAATGTTGCAAAACTATTGCAAGAGAAAGTAAAGAGAAGCATATTACTATGAAGGGGAATACTCGACGAAACCAAATATCCCCACAGAGAAAGAAGGACACACGGAATAGCCTAAGCATCGAGGTGGATGTGCGAGTGCCTCTTTCTGTAGGCCAAAAACTGGAGAAAAATAGCAGCATCAAATGCTAGTTGAATGCATCCGCAGACTGGAAATTGAACGGGTGCTTTGGAGAGGAAAAAGTAGATTGTCTTGAAAAGATCACCCAAAGCCCACATCAAAACCATTTCGCAACTAAAAGAAAGATGGCACAATGTTGTCACCTGTTCGTATTGCTTCGAGACAGGCAAAAAATTTTTGTGTCTTCGAGATGATAACCTACCAAACTTACACACCTCAGTGCTTAACTAGTGCGGCTGAAGCATACTGGAAAAGTGCTTTACTTCACGTCGGTACTCGTGAATGTGTCTTTGACCATCGATTGTGTCCAACTGGACGTGACAATAGAATGATCAACCCGGCGATCAGTACTAAACGTTCAAAAGCATGAACTGAAAGTTTACCGCAATGCTAACTGTACTGTCTACTCCGAAAGCAAACGCGACGGCTGAAACCACTGACAATGCGTTACCGAGTGATTTAGCGCCTGTTCATCATAGTGATGGATTTTAAAGAGGCGGATATCGGCGAGTACCACACCCTCGCATGCAAGCAGCGTCACCATCGCCTACCGTCTCCATTGGTAATGTTCAGCGCGGGTGACAATGACCGAGTTAAACGAGCTATAAGGGAACCAATCGAGCAAATGATATAGCGGAAGTCCAACATCCACGAACTATAACGGGTCGAAAGTAGTAATTCAAGGCAGCACAATTAAGGTAAACGCTAAAAATGAAGAAGTATGATCATCACCTCATACCAACTGTAGAAGAATGTCGGTAGTTCTGCAGAAACTGAGGAAGAGCGAGCAGGGACTCTGTGATAAGGGAAACAAAACCGACTGCCTGAACGAAGAAGTAGGACGAACTGAAAGCGAAGCAAGGAACGCCAAAGACTACAGAGAAGAGGATGACAAACTTCACATAACTTCCGTAATCACTCCAACGCCAGAAGTATCTCCAGTCAAGGTCTGCAAAAATAACGACTTAAAGAGAGAAGAGAGACGGCAGGTTAGATGCAAGTGAGCAATGCCGACCGGAAAGCACATGATCGCCACTGTCAGCTGGAGGTGTTTGTCGATACTTCACCCAAACGTACATCATAAACATCATTGTGGAAACCATGAGAAAGGCTTGAAGGAGAAGAGGTGTGGGAAAGGGCTGGCCAAACCTATCAAGCAGAAACTTGATGTTGGTGTTCCAGTCGATTACACCAAATATTTCGGTAATGCACAACAGCGCAGCGTAAAATATTCAAAGGTACTAACGAATTGGTTGAAGATTCATTGATAAGAAAGTGAACATATACTGAAATCATTTAATTCGAAGAGAACTTTGAAAACAGCCAGAAGGGATCAAAATTAAAAGCATAGGAATAATGCTAACTTAAAATGACTAACCAGAATCCGATCCTCAGAAGGTTAGCGATCGTGAGAGTGAGACAGACGTAAGGAGAAAAGCCACTTGAGTTTTTTAAGCGTTTTATTGTCAAGTACTGTGGAATATAGGGGACGACACCACCGATAACTATGAAAAGTGGCAGCAACCCTTTTGACATATCCAAGAGTGCCCAGCCAAGGTTAGACATCGTACGGTGCTGAAAAAAATTAAATTAAGGTCAGCGGAATAGCAGCCAATAGATTAGCTTCCTATAATGGCAGAGGAAAGTACTCAATCACAGTGGTGAAAGCAAAGCAAAAACAGTTAGAGGAAGGTCCACCATCAGAAAAAAGCCATACTCTTTAAAATAACAAGTCAAAAATCGAATAAATAACAAAACTCGACCTTAAAGAACCATTTCACGCTGCTTTTGAAGCCAATTACGTTAAAGACAAGATGAACCGGGCATGTATTTTCTCAGACAGTTGATAAAAATGTCAGAAATTTCTAACTATGCACAAGCAGACATGCACAGCGAGGAAATCTCGTAGTTACTTTACACCATAAAGAAACAGTTCACTAATATCGAACCCTAAAGCAGAACAACTTGCGAAGCATACATCAAATTTGGCGGCAGCGAATCTCAACTCATGGAAGCGTAAAATGAACTTTCGCAACCTAATTAAGTTAATAGATTTTTTGTGCAATGGAATAATTCGCATAAAATTGCGAAAGACTTTTATATTTGCGACATAACTTATGGGATAATCTGTGCGAAAATGTCCCAGACGTGAGTCTCAGTTTAGCCGACTAAACATTTTTGGTGTGACACCGTGTACTTTGTGGTGCCGTTCCATAAGTAAACCGTTTTCTGTTATGCACAAATGTGTTGATTGATACTTCAAACGCGCAGTCCTTAGATCTCTCCATGGTCTCAAACCATTTGCAACGAGCTAATCCTTGTATCAAACTGCACTTCAATTTTGTACCTGGGAACCACGGAAATCTTTGGTGTAACTGTAAGGTTTGCCTGCCTACTCTCAGTTTCCTTAGCCTGAGACCTCAGGAGAGGTTTAGTAAGGGAAACTGTACTAAGTATCATGAACAGAACGAAAGGAAATGAAAGGGAAAATTGCTGAGACGGGAAGCTGATGTCAACCCGAGAACGTTTCTTCGTGCTCCTCGCGAAGTAGATCAGTGTTTAAATTGTTTTCTCCTGTAAAGGCAATCTTGAACACATTAGTATATAATACGGTAACATCTGCGGGCTTCTTGTTCAAAGCGGAGGGCATTAGATCTAGTTGAGTACTTGTGTTCATAGGAAAGCAGAAGCTTTTTTTACGTACTGTAATGATTTGTTCATGCGACTACCTGATGTCTGACTGTCACTTTAAGATTTGTCTGAACCTTACACGCGTGGGCTGGCCTGAGTGCTTTGTTCTCCTTGGAGTGCATGCATTCAGCTCCATTTACTACTTCTTCTATAAGGGCGGAAGCCGCTGGACGCTGCATGGGTGGCAGCGGAAAGCGTACTCGACATTTTCAGCGACTTCTATCCTAGCACATACTGTTTGTGGCATAGACTCACGGTGTGGAGGAGGCGCACTTTTTCAGTGATGATAGAACCTCTGAACCTTTCACAACAAGAGAATTGAGACCAACGTCTGCATTTGGCTTTAACTTATCCCTATGTTCTACAGACGAGCTATTAACACCTAAAGCGACTCCTTCATTAACCATTTGGAAAAGTTTCGTGTCGAAATCTTCCTTACTAAATCCGTGCATTGGTGTCAGAAATGTCATAATGTTTCTCCTTATATATGGGACAGTGTCTGATCCCGTTTTCTCTGTAATACAGCTGTATTAGTCCAGAGTTCCACCATCCACTTCTGGAAGCAACTGATTGTCAACAGATGCATGCGGCCTCGATCCTGGCTTTCGGACAGAAAGTAACGCCGAGTAGCGTGTCGGAACTGCCTGTCTACCCTTTGGTCCCTGATCCTCAGACTTCAAGAGGAAGTTGGTTGCAGACGATTTATTGGGCATTGCTATTAGGAAGGATGAGGAATGGGATGCAGATGAGGTGAGTTGGAGATATTAACCGGAGAGAGGCTCCTCGCCGACTTCACGCACGTGTGTCACGCTTTCCGATTGGTTCCCGCTTCTCACCTATAAAAGTACACAGTCCCCCTTCTCTTTCGAGGATCGATCCTGGTGGGATTCCATCGGACGGATACTCTTTTCCTAATACCGTATAGACTACGTCTTCGTAACCTACTGGGGGCGCACCCGTATATGGCCTAATCTAGTTATGATGTACTGCTTAAGGCCGAGCAGCGATCTCCGTATTCCGAATGAGATAATTCGTGGGGGACAGGACTCTGATTATCCGGTAGGGTTCCTTGCTCAAGGGGTGATAGAATTTCCGATGGGTTCCTGGCGGGGGAATTGGTCAATATAGTTGCACCAAGTCGCCCTCTTTAAAGACGTTTGTTCGACTCTGTCTATCGTAGGAACTCTTTAGCCTAGCGTATGCTTTCTTCAGTTGTCTGCGCGTGGCGTCATACACTTTCCTGAGATTCTCCTTTAGTAGAAAGACGTACTGAGGCGCATAATCTCGCTTACTGGGGAAGCCCGTGGGAATCGGCTGCAGAGGGGCTACGGCCGAGCGAATTTACTTCTTCAAGCTGGTACACGTGAGGCATATACGACAAAAATCAGAGACATCCGATGTCAGCGAAGGCCATCAATACCCCTTTGTACTAAATGACGTCTTCATCTAGAGAGAGTTTTTCCCAGTTCTGCCATATGCTTAGCCCTCTTGCTCGCCCAGCTCATCTCCTCAATTGTGGGCTTGACTGAGGATGTCCTTAGTCCTTCATAGACTTAAGCTGTATTGGGTTCGGCGTTCTGCGTGGTTCTCCAATGATGGGAAGTAGGCTCGCTCAATAACAGCGCACCTACTGCGCCACTATCCGTGAACGGGGATAAGGGTCTCCGTAACAGAGCTCCGCATTGCCATGAGGGCTTCCTTTCCTATATTACACCATAAAATCATATTGTTGGAGTTCTTCATGCCACCTTGCAACCGAGTATTCGATCTCCATCTTCTTCAACCACGTCAGTGCTTGATGGTCTGTCCTCACAACGAACTGCTTTCCTATCAATTAGTGCTAAAAATGTCTGACCATCGTATAAATAGCGAAAAGCTCCCGTTCCGTTGCACACTTCTGTTTCATCTTTTTGCTGAGACGTAAGCTGGCATACGCGGTCACATGTTCTCTCCCGTCCTTGTCTTTCTGGAATAGGTCCCCGCCCACCGCCTCGTCGCTTGCGTCTGTGTCCAACACGAAAGGAGGAGCCTCGGCATTGAAGTTTGATAAAGTCAAGATCGGTGCGGCGCAGAGAG